CCTGTGAAAACACGAAACTGATATATCAGAGACTCAAGTGGAAATCCAGTGAGAAAATGAATGAAAGAAAGAAAGAAGCAAAGATAGGAATATTGAATGTCTGTTTCACTGAAATAGAAAAATTATCAATTTGAAATCTTTTCATTTGTGCACCCTTACTTATAAATGAACTGACTATTAAAAAATATTTACAAGACAGCTTTTTATTACTAAATTTCATCTAATACAAGACGCAAAAGTGGTATGAAATAAATAACCCCCGGTAACACAAATGAACTACGCAAGACGCCTTAAATAAAGAACTCAAAGTGTCATTCAAAAAGAATTTCTAATGAAGTCAAGGCTAATAGCGAGACATAATATCATAACCTCTAGGAGCGAGTTAACTGTGACGACGAGGGACCGAAACTCATACGAAGTAGGGAATGGTATTTTTTCTTCGATACTTTTTGTTTCATGATAGTGACGACAAGAAATTAGAACCGCGTTGGTTTAAATTTTTTTTTTTTTGGTGTGTGTACGAAGGAAAAAAAGAGAAAGGAGGAAAAAGACCCCAGATATTCTTTAAATATGGAAGTATTATTAGTCCAAATGGTAAAAATACAAAAACAGCAGATGTTGGAACTCCGGAAACAAGAAAAAATTCAATTGAAATAATACGGGAGAAAACAGAAGATTTCCCAAGTTCTTTAATTTCCGACGAGATGGTAATGCCATAGTTGAATTTGCATACAATACAGATAATGGAATTACCTTTTCTGTTTATTTTAGAAGATACCAGAAAATTATCAGAGAAGAATGGAGCGACTGGGAAGACGAGAAAAAAAAGACATCTGTTGAGAAAGTTAGCACGGGTAGAACATGGAAAGTACTGTAATTTTCTACTGCCGAAAAAACAGGAAATTTGCTTTGATGAAACAGTAAAAATAACGATTAAAACTTTTAGAGGGAAAAGTTCGTTATTCAATACTCGTTGGAAGTGTATGAATCTGACGGAAAAAGATGACAATTTTGTCACATATGCTGAATCTTTAACAAGGAGTGTGAAATATTCAAATTAAACGAACTCACTCGGAAGATGTTTAAAGGGTTAATTTTCGTTCAAGGGTTAACAACAAAAAAGACGCTGAAATAAATGCTATAATTCTAACGAAAATTGAACAAAATAAAAAAATAACACTACGAATTTTAGAGAATCTTATATCTGAGACGCGATATGGAAGAAGTTGAAGAAAGAAAATACAAGCTAAAGAAAAATGTGGAAAAAAGGAAAATTAATCCATGTTTCATATGAGGATAGTTACATTTCAGAGACGACTGTCCCTTTCAGAATTCAAAGTGTTACAAGTGTGGAAAAAGGGACATAGAAGACACGCTGTGAAACTAAATCAAGCAAAAGTTCTCACGGAAAACAAATCGTACACAGCATTGTGACGAAAAAATAATAATAGAAAAACAAAGAAAATTTACGTTTGTGAAAATTAATGTGGATGTAAAATTTCATCTTAACACTGGTTGTGATATTACAATAATTAACGAAGAGACATGGAAAGCAAACAGAAAGCCTACATTAAAAAGAACTTCGAAAAACGCACTTTGAGTATGGGTGAGAAAGTATCTTTTTATTCGTGAAATGATTTGTAACGTTTCATTTTGTAATAAGTATGTAAAAGTTAAGTATTATGTGCTAAAAATACTACCAACTTATTCGGTACTGACTGGATGGAATTATTTGATTTGTGGGATGTACCTATAAATATTTATTACAAAAATGTAAGTAGACACGCTACCAGTTTTTTAAAAAAAGGGTGAAAACTTAAAGAAAGAATTGAAAAAAATGTTTTTCCGGATGTTCTGTCAGATGATGTGCGTCGGTGTTCCAAACTCAAAGCAAAATTTCAAGCGAAAAAAGGGTCGATGTCAGTGTTTAAAAAGAAACATAGTGTACCGTACGCAGTATTGGATCAAGTCAACAAAGAATTAGACAGACTTGAAAAAATAGGTGTAATTGAAAAGATTGACCATTCAAAATTGGCAGCACCAGTAGTGTATGTGAAGAAAAAAACCGTGTTTGTGCCGATGTTTTGACAGTGTTAAACAAATATTTAGAATCCCATAACTACCCATTAACAAGACCAAAGGAAATTTTTGCAAATTTAAACGGTAGAAATATTTCGAAGCTGAAACTTTTCGAAGCGTATTTGCAAATATAGCTTGAAGAATAATGTTCAGAGTTACTAAGTATAAATATGCGGAACGGATTGTATAAGTTCAACTGACTTTCTTTTGAGATAAAAAGTGGCTCCAGCTATATTTCAACAAGCTACAGATACTATGTTTGCAGTTTGTGATTATGCAGTTACTTATTTGGATGATATATTAATTAAATATGTATCTAAGGGACAACATATCGGGCATGTAAAAAGAGCTTATGAAAAATACGGGTTCAAACTCTGTGCGGAAAAGTGCGAATTGTTTTGGCCTAAAATCAAGTATCTAGCATTGATAAAAATGTCCGTCAACCAGATCCGTCGAGGGCAAGTGCAATTAAGAATATACCACCTCCAACAAACGTTACTAGGTTACAAGTATTTGTAGGACTAGCAATATATTATCAGATCGATATATCTAATATGCAAAATTTTAGAGCTCAATTGAACAATTAGTTTTTTAAAAAAACGCTTAAAGTGGAACTGGACTGATAAATATCAGAAGGGGTTTGAAGAAATGAAGAAAATACTAACGCCAGACTTATTATTAGCGCACTCAAACGGACAAGCTGAACGGTTTGTGGGTAATTTCAAGAAAACTTTTAAAAATGCCAGTAATGAAAAAGTGAGCGAAGAAACGCTGAAAAAATTCTTGAGGGTAAACCGGATAACAGTGAATCCCAATACACATGCAGGCATGTCACCGGCAGAATTGATGTTCGCAAGAAAAATGAAATCGGTGTTCGATAATTTGTGGCCAGGCCAAAAAAGTATAAGAGCGGATATAAGGACACAAATTTTTCATAATTGGCGAAAAAGTGTTTTTCAGAGTATATAAAATTATGTTATGTTTGACATACTAACATCCTCAAACGTACAAGTATGACTACCAGAAAAAGGAAACGTACGGAAAATTATAAGTTCACTTAAAACGAAAGAAATGCAAACTTCAGTACGTGGCGAACTATCCAGAAAGAGGACGAGGTGAACACTAAGAAATAAAATAAAATATTTACTAGTGAAAAAAAATCTCAAAAGAGGTATGTTGTGGAGTAAATAAGACATATCCAGTAGCACAAACGAACTAGGCAAAACGCGTTAAATAAAGAATTCAAATCAAAGAAGTCCGTCGCAGCTAAGCTAGCGACAGGACAAGACATCTGTCTTTAAGGCAGAGGGTGACAAAACCTCCTTTTTCGGGCGGAGGGTAACTCAGTCGGGGCTCTGTCTTCGGATAGAGATTCGGCTGAGAAAAACAGACCAATACTCTACCCGAGCCCGCTTTTGCGGGGGCTGCATAAATTTTGACCAGTGGCCCGAATGGAAACGCTCGGATTCTCCACATAAACTTCACCTTGTTTCACAACTAGCCAGCAGTGGGGCGGCCGGTAAATACCAGTCTGTTGGAGTCAGTGGAGGAGAATTTCAAATGAAGTTAAGTCGAGTAGCCTGAGCAAGACATAATATGATAACCGCTAGGCGCCAGATATAACAAAGAGCCACTCAGGATAGAGGCCTAGTGAATGAGGTGCGTGTTGTAAGAAAAGATAGAAGGAAGTGAAGATTATGAAGATAAGAAGGATAGATAACGATTCACCACAGACTTGAAGAGATTAAGTTTTTAGTGTTCAGAGAATCATCCACGCGGGAGTTTGTTTCACAAAATACCAGTTCTCGTGAAAAAGCTGTTTAGGCGAAACTTCCTCAATACAAATGGAATACTAGGGAAATAGGGGTGATTCGACACTGTGGACGTAGTCTGGTTAGTCCTAAGTATAAAGGTATGAACTTGTGGAACCAAAGAGTGGAGTTCAGCTGAACATTTGCTATGGAAATAGCGAAATGCAAATGAAAACAAGAATTTAAATAAAAGCAAAAATAAGACGCTGACGTTATGTAAAGAAGTCATATGAAACGGGGAAGTAAATGAAAAGAGGATAAAGAATAAAATGAAAGAAACTGAAAAAAGAAAAGAAAAAGAAAAAATCAGAAAATAGAAAAGACGAAAGAAAAAAACAAGTAAACAAAAATAATTGAATAAAACGAAAACGAAAAAATCCAAAGAGAAATCAAAAAAATATAAATATATTCGCCTATCACCCGGTTCACACTTCTCCCCTGTTTTTTAAACAAGAATAGAGGTTTTATCTCTTGTTTTTTGTTTAGGACTGGATTTCTGGTTCCTTCTAAAGCCTACATCGACTCTATACTTCTAACGTCTCCGCTCAAACTCTGAAATTTTATTTACTGTTATTTTTTTCCTCGATAGGAGTAGATAGATTTACCTATCGCCCGGTTCACATCCTCCCCAGTCTTTTGAACATGAGTAGAGATTTCATCACTTGTTTCCAATGTAGGCTCGGATTTCCGGTTCCTTCTAAAGTGTTTTAATTCCCAGTAAGCCCTTGCGTCATAGTGGCATTATCACCTTACATGGGTTGAAATGATTAAAAAAGAAAGAAAAAGAAAGCAAAAACATAATAAAACGTGAATAAAAGTAAAATGATATTAAAATAAAAAAAAAGTGAAAAAAACAAAATCTGATGAAATAAAAACGAAAATAAATAGGAAAATGTAGAGAATATAAATTACAAAAAAGAAAAATAAATTCATGAAAATGAGGAAGAAAAAAATTATTTCAGAAAATGCCAAACAAAAAATAATAAAGAAAAATATGAAAACGGAAAATCTTACAGGTAAAAAAGGATGAAGCAAAATAATTAAATAAAATGAAGAAAATTGTGATAAAACGAATGAAGAATGAGAAGAAAAGAAAAAGAAAGAGATTAATCAAAAATGAAAAAAAGAAGAAACGAAAAAGAAGTGGAAGAAAAATCTCAGAATGATAAAAAGAAAAAAAGAAAAAGAAAAGCAGACAGAAAAATCAAAGGGGAGGAAGAAATAAAGGAAAGCAAGACTGGAAAGAAAAGAATAAAAAACCGAAACAACGGAAGGGAAAAAGAGTAATAAAAAAAAAAAAGCGGAAAGAATAAGCAGGCGAAAAATCCAAAAAAGAAAGAAAAAAACTAATGTGAAAAAAGACGATAAAAGGAAAAAAAATGAAAGAGGAAAACGGAAAACAGAATCAAACTTTAAAAGAACAAATTAAATAAAAGAAAAAAAAATGTTTAGATAGAAATAAAGGAGAGATAAAAATATTGGCAAAATAAACGGATAAAAAAGAAAAATGAAAGATATGAAAGGCAAAACTGAAAGAAAGAAAAAAAACAATAGATGAATGAAAAAAGAAAGATAATGGCGAAAGACAAATGAAATACGTTCTTTTCAAGTAACCGAAAGAAAAAAGATGAATAATGAAAAAAGCAAAGAATAAACGATTGAAAAATACGAACAACTAATGAAAAAGAAAGAAAAAAAGGAAAAAGAAGAATAATGGAAAAAAGCAAAGAATAAACAAATGAAAAATACTAACTAGAGAGAAAGAATGAAAGAAAAAAGGAAAAAGAAGAAAAATGTAGAAAAAAAGAACAAACGATTGAAAAATCTAAAAAATAAACAAAAGAAAGAAAAAAGAAGAAAAAAATGAAATTTATTTTTCCTTATTTATTTCACCTATAAAGCACAAGCAAAATTCAAAAGAATGAAAAGAAGTAACAAAAAAAAACGAAAAAAAACCCCGAAAGATTCAGATAAAAGGAGAGAAAGAAACAAAAGGAATTATTGCAAAAAATGAATGAATAAAAAAAAGAAACATGAAATATACGTAAGGCAAAAACGAAAGAAAATACAAAAAAAAAAGTGAATTAAAGAGAGAAAGATAAACATGGAAACGAAAGAAAATAAGAGGCTCTCTTAAAAAAAAGAAAGCAATAAAAAAAATCAAGCAATAAAAAAAACATCGTTCTTTCAAGACGCGTTTCAAAGCCTAGCGAAACTAGTATTACACTTGCTGATCGTCTACCGTTGTTGGTGTGGTTTGGTTTTCACGCCTGTCGTTATATAAATACAAAACAGGCATTGTTGACCGTAGATGGTGAGAGGTGGTACCCGGACGGGAGAGGAAAAGAAGAAGACGTAGGGGTCGTAGAAAACCACGGTGGAAAACCAAACGGCAGACGAAATAAAGATCCCGGGGAATTGGAAAGAATTAGCGAAGCGTCTAGCAGAAAAAAAATAATAAAACAAAAAAAAACACGACGCTCGATTTGCTCGGTCAATACCACCGACGTCCACCCGAGGGGAGGGGATGTCCAGGGCATCATCATCCAGGTGCAGCAAAGGGTGCGGTGTCGGGGTTAGATGAGGGAAAAGACAGGCGTGGAGTTTAATAGGACGACGAGGAGGTGGGATCCGATGAAGGGGAAATATAGAAATGGTTGTGGTCACTGGGTGAAAACGGTGGAATTTCGAGACGAATTTCGTCAAAGAGTGAATCGTCCTTTCACAATAGAAACACAGATGGAGGGTATGGAGTAGGAATTATAAAAAAAAAAGTGCGGGCGGGTGGTTAGGAAGAAAGAAACCACAGAGAAAATAAAACAGTAAGATTGAAGAAAAAACAGAATCGGAGTAGACAGCCAGAATGCAAAAAAATAAAAAGGAAACCTACATTAAACTAGGCCAAAGGAAAATCTAACTCCCTCACGCACACACACACACAGACACACACACACACACACACACACACATATATATATATATATATATATATATATATATATATATATATATATATATATATATATATAATAATGTGTGTGTGCATATGCATGTATAAAAAGGACAAGACGAAAAGTTTTTTATGCCAACGCGTTTCGCTCCTTGAGGAACTATATTAAGTTAAGTCTAACGCATTGGTTTAAAAGTATCCTACTTGTTCTCTCTCTGTCTCTCTGTCTCTGTCTCTCTCTCTCTCTCTCTCATACACACACACACGTATATATATATGCATATGAGTAAGAAAGAAAGAATAATAAAAAGAAAAACAGGATCGAAAGAGACAGAATTGAAAAATAAAAACGTAAATATACTATTAATGTAGAATAAAAGATACATCCAATCATCCAATGCTCGTGCGCGGACACACACACACATATATATATATATATATATATATATATATATATATATAAACAAATGTTTGGAGGTACAAAATTTATAAATAGTTTAAAAAAACTAAAACCATTGATTTTAATATTAAAAGTCTCTAGAGCCCTTTCAGCCAACATCTCATCAGGAGACAATCGTTGGATTAGCGAAATGAATAATAGCGATATTGAAGAAAAAAAAAAAAAAAAAAAATATATATATATTTATAGAACTCATATAAATATATTTATAGAACTCATGATACTATGTACTAGTTCGGTGGAGTTCAGTTTTGACAATATTATGTATAGTCAAGTGGATGGGGTCCAGATGGGCAGTCCCCTTGGCCCTGCATTGGCTGATATTTTTGTGGGCTACCATGAAATGTTACTTTTCGGCAAAGTGTCTAAACCATTTGTTTACGTTAGATATGTCGATGACACCTTTGCAACATTCTCTAATAAAAGTGAGGCTGTTGAGTTCTTTAATGAGCTCAACTCCTTACACAATGGTTTGTCTTTCACTATGGAAGGGGAGAAAGACAACTGTCTGCTTTTTTGGACGTTTTGTTGAACGCAGTAGAGGTGGCTTTATTACTAGCATCTATCGTAAACCCACCTTTACTGGACTTTTATTTGAATTGGCGTTCATTTGCTCCTGCATCAAGGAAAATTAATCTCGTTAAAACCTTGGTGTATAGAGCGCTTAAAGTGTGTTCCCCTATTAGATTGGACCGTGAATTTGGGAACATTAGGGAGATTTTCCTTAGTAACGGCTATCCGGAGGCCCTTATTGACTATATTATTAGTAAGAAAACTAAGGAATTTCATTCCCTAAAAACCAGGGGCCTTCTAAATGTCCGGTTTATTTGAAGATTCCCTGGATTGGGGATAGTGGTCAGGGCTTAATTAAGCAGGTTAGCAAGTCGGTTTCCGGTTGTTTCCCATCAGTTGCTTTACGTAGCATTTTTCAAACTAGGTCTGCGTTTCCGTCTTTTTCGCAAGGATGTATTGCCCTACATCAAATTGAGTAATTTAGTATATGAATTTAATTGCCAGTGTGCTGCTGGTTATGTGGGGCGTACAACCTTGCATTTGGAAACTAGAATTAATCAGCACGTTCCTTCCAAAATACGACTTGGTAACATAGATAGAATATGCTATCTTCCCCCATGAATATGGAATCGGCTATTGCTCAACATTTAGTTGAGAATATAGCTTGTGCCAAGTTGTATAAAAAAAAAGTGGTTTAGAATTATTCATACAGCCGATTCCAATAATCATTTGAAAATTTTGGAATCGGTCTGTATAGGATTTAGAAAACCTTCTCTCTGCCGGCAGAAAGAATTTATAAGGTCTCTGAATCTGTTGGGGATATTTTATTTTAACTGTCCCTCGCTATTTATTTACACGATAACCCTTCCCTCGTTACAAGTATATATACTTGTTCGTTATTTTAGTGTGTTTCCCCCTCTTTTTTTTTGCTCTTCAATATCGCTATTATTCATTTCGCTAATCCAACGATTATCTCCTGATGGCTGAAAGGGCTCTAGAGACTTTTAATATTAAAATCAATGGTTTCCTAGTTTTTAAAACTATATATATATATGTACACTTTAAATATATATATAAATATATACACACTTTAAATACACACACACATACACACACACACACACATATATATATATATATATATATATATATATATATATACTTAAATGTCAGGAGATCAGTTGAATCAGCTACCTTGGTTACATCCTTTTTTTTAAGTTAAAAGCTCTACGCGTTATCTTTAATTCAATTTTATTTTATTTTATATTTTCACACTTGCATTAAACATTTTTTTTTATAATAATACTGTTTCCTAGCCTGATTCAGCTCTGATCATTGATCTTTTATTCATTATATATATAAATATATATATATATATATATATATATATATATATATATATATATATATGTATATGTATGTATGTATGTGTGTGTATGTGTGTGCGTGTTTCTATGTGAGCGTGTATGTTTCTCTCCCTTTGTGCATGTATAAAAGAAAAGACAATAGGATAATCTTTTGTATCAACGCGTTTCGTTCCTTGACAAACTTTATCAAGGCTGAAAAAGCTTTCATTTTGTGCTTAAAAGACACTTTCGCATCTAACGTCTGTTTCTCCTGTAAAGTTCGACGTACATTTATACCTTGCCGCCCTTTTTCTTCAATAAAATTTATCGAATATTCAGGTCGCTAGACGAAAATAAATATAATGTCTAATAAATAAACGGGGCGTTTACTCAAATGTGGGTATCTACTAAAAAAACCTTTGCATTAATAAATAAGAAATCTATTAAATCTTTAGATATATCGGGTGCAATGAATAAATTGTCGTCTAAATTACGCAAAAATGAAAATAACAGATATCTCATTCTATCATATTACTAAAATTACACAAAAATATCTTGAAATCGTAAAGAGTAAATTTCTTCAATAATATCGTCATTGGCTTCAATTATGGCCTCCAGACGACTTCGGAATCTCCTGCATCTTTTATGGATGCTCTCTTTGTTTAAGTTGGTGAATACTGCCATAAACCTTGCTTTCAGTTAACCCTTGGTGTTACAAGGAGTTTTGTTTATCTCTTGCTCAACTACGCCCCGCACATAATAATCAAAGGGGTTGCAGTCAGGGGAGTTAGGTGGCCAGATTTAAGTTGTGATGTGGTCGCAGAAATTGTCTGACAATCACGGCTGGCTTCTCCTGCTTGTGTTGCATGTTGCAGATTCCTGTTATCAGACATAGGGTCTTCCAGCAGCCATCCTCCTGTCCCAGGGCAGCACTACCTCCTCAAGGCACTTGATGTAGGCCTCAGTGTTGTATCTGAGGCCCTCATCATCAAATTCGAGAGTTCTTTTTTTATCAGAACGATCGGAGTGAGTTTTCCGTATCTTCGTAATCACCATTTGACTCAATCAACTCTTTCCGAATCCTCTGTGCTGTCCTCAGATTTATATCTAAACACTCTGAAATTTTCGTTTTGAACTGAGTCAAAATTCGCAAATAATTAGTATGTAACGTTTCACAGTAGATATAAAAATAGTTACAAGTGTTTATCCACTGTTCAATCGGTGTCTGGGCATTACGTCATTTTTCTCTACCACCGGTAAAGCGACGGTCAGGGCTCACAGTGTTAAGGTTCATTTTAGTAGGCCTTTTTTCTTTTTTTTTACAATGATGTTCATCCCATACAAGTTAAAAGGGTTAGTCGAAGTAGAGGGTTTCAAAATAAGAGTCGCAACTTAAGCGTATGTGTGAAAGGTAACGTCTAAGCTGAGACTTGGACAGGTTCAGTTTGTAGCGATCGGGGATGCATCCACTTGGGAGTCGATTCCATAAGGCAGTGGTTCGTTGGGAAAAGCTGTTCTAGTGGAACTTACATCTAGCCAAAGAAATACGAAGTGAAGATGGTTCGCTAAAATGAGCGTTGCTTGTCGGGTCTTAGCCATAAAGGTTAGAACTGGTGGAACTAAGGATTATAGTTCATCTGAACATTTTCCGTAGAAATAGCAATAGAGAAGCGAGAGGTTTTCGACGTCTCATCTGTGAGGAAAGGGGTTGTAGAGTAGAAAATAATTCGTCACCCACAACGATGTGGAGACGCTTTTAGTCCTTATCAAGCCTGTAAAGTGAAGAGTGGGAAACTCCTGCCCATATATGACATTAGTACTCAATTTAGGACTCATCTGGCTCTTGTAAAGATAGTGGATAATAGGAGTCAGGTACTCGTTGGAGAGGTACAGAGCTACACTGCTTCTGTTATATAATATATCGTAATTTAAAAAAAAATGGTATTCATTTTTTATTTACCAATGTTTGAGAAGGAAAGAGACGATGTTGAAGTCGAGATTTGGAAGATTGACTTTTGTGTCCATTTTCGTATGCTTTGTATGATTCTACGATTAAATCTATAGTAATTAACTAGAATTAATTTTGACCGCCCTTTATATACATATATTTCTCATTAAAGCTTGAATACTTTATTACTTTGTAGAATATAATCTCTATATATAAAACTGAGAATGTCTGTCTGTCTTTGTGATACCTTTTCACTCGAGATCCATCCAACCGATTTTCATCAAACTTGGCACATACATTGTACTTACCGTAAAAAATCGATAATTTAAAAAAAAAATTCAATAATCGATAAAGCCGATCAAAAATCGACGAATTCAACTGTTTTCCTCCAATTTCGTTCAAACTCGGCATATAGGTTATTTACATCATTACGAGCTCAACGATACCTCATTTTTATTTGTACGCACTGCGTTTAGCGAAAAACGAAAAATCGATTTCAACTCAAATTTTAAACTAAAAACTCCCTTACTTTTCAAGCAATCTAACATAAACTTCGCACAATTGTAGCAAACAATACGTTGTTCGTTTAATAGTCTTTAAAGAGAATATAAAAGAGAGATACGCGCTATGAACGTTAATCTCTGTCAACAAAATGATAGCGACCAAAAATTTGAAATCGCAAAATTTCGAAGACGTTACATTATACCTTTACAAGCATCTCCTAGGAATCTAATTAAATATTTTAAGAATATCTCTGGCTTTTAATTCCCAATTAAGCTCAAGTTCGTTTGATAGCCATTCATTGAATCTCTGTACCACTAGTACAATATAATTGAAAGTCTCTTCATTTTAGTCATTTGCTGTAAGAGAGATATTAAAAAAAAAACACAAACTACTCTTTTTATTTGGACGACCCAG